AAAGAGTGTGTGCATTTGTAGTAAGGAAGAGAGTTCACGGGTTTGGAATTTTTGTTTTTCTTAACCACTACTACGGTGAAATCAATTTTCCCGAGAAAGAGGAGCGAGAAAAGAAAATTTTATTTTTTAATAATAAAAATGTAAAAATAAAATAAAAGATATTTTTTTTTTGAGAGAGAGAAGGTGAGAAGCCGCGTTTGTTGCCGCGGGAAATTATTAGATTGCGAGGGACACGTTGGCTATTTATATGGGAGGGGAATGTGGAGTTACGGTTTTGCCATTGGGATTTTGGGTTATTTACGGTTTTGACATTTACTCGTTGCCTCGCCGACACCTACGTGACGTGACGTGGCGTGGCTTGGAGCGCCATGTCTAATTGTGAGGTCGCTTTGCTTGTGGAGCATCTTAGTTAATCACGGAGAGAAATGTTCTCAATTTATCATTTTTTTTAAAATAAATAAATAAATTTTGGGTTAGATATGATTTTATTTTTTGGAAATACAAGAATGTTTAGTTTTAACCTTTAAGAAGTAAATTATTTTTAAATTTGTATTTCTTAAAATGTATTATGAATCTTGAGATAAACTTTTTTAAAAATACTTATGAAAATAAATAAGAAAAAATTAAAATAAATTTTTTCATGAGTTTAAACTAACTTGTATGCAAGTTAAAAAAATAAAACTAAAAAAAGGAAATCTACATAAATTAGTTTTTGTTTAAGTTAATTTTTTATTATTGATAAACTTAATTCATTTTTCTATATCTTTTTCTTTTCTAAAAGTATTTCTACAAAAATTTACTTAAATAAATCCTATACTTGATTATTGACTTTTGTAAAAAAAATCGTTTTTTGTTTGCTTTCTTTTTTTATGAAAATGAGACGTAATACTTTTAAAATTATATTGTTTATTGGATCATTTAAATTATTAATTTAAAGTTAAATGATTGAATTGTGGTTGAACTAATAATAATAATAATAAATAGTACATAAAATAATATTAAAGAAATATAATTTTTTATAATACTAAAAACTAAATATAAGATATAATTTTATGAAAACTTTATATTTAAAGTTGGACCATTTTAGGCTCATGACCAATCAACTCATGCTTGGTCATTTTTATGTTGATTGACTTATAGTTAACCTATTTATTATCAAGTTTATTGACTTGGCTCGTGATTAGGCATGGCAATAAGGCGGGGCGGGAGCGGGTTTTACATTCTCCGCCCTCGTTCCTGATACTCGCCGGGAGTAAAATTTGGGTACCCATTCCCGCTCCCGGCAGGGTTCGGGTTTCCCCGCCCCTACTCTTATTTTTTTTTTCTTTTTTTTTTTTTAAATAAATATGAACAAATTTAAAAAAAAATAAAAGAAAAGTGAAATAATATAAATTTTTACATATAAATATTTCTTATTTTGGTTTATATATATATATAAATAATTTTTTTACTTATATTATTAAGCGGGGCCGGGACGGGGGTGGGAGCGGGCCGGGTATTAACATCCCCGCCCCCGATTTTATCTATTGGGGAAAACCTGAACCCGAACTCGATA